CAGTACTGTCTTAGATCAGGTGAAGTGCTAGGGTTTATTATATGCAGGGTTTTAGTTCTAAGAGTAAAGGTACTCGAACTGTCCTTGTTGGTGCCCCCTTGGGCTGTCAAACCCTCAATCCTAGTCCATCACAGACTTAAGTGGATCGAGTTCAATTCGAGGGGACACATTTCTCTATGCCTGACACGGAGAATAAATTCTCACGAAGACATAGAGTATATGAACCCCGAAAGCTACTTGCTAGGTCTCACACGGAGAATAAATTCTCACGAAGACGTCGTTTTAACTCCCACTTAAAAGGGACAAGCTTGATTGTAAAGCTTTATGTCATGTAATGCAAGTGTTGTGTGTGAGGAGAAATGTTCAAACCTCTGACAAAATAATAAAATTTAATACTTGAAAATAAAATAAAAATATAAAAAATAATATATATAAATATTATGAAAATAATAAGTATATATAAAAATTTTGAAAAGAAAGAATTATAAATTAAATATATGAATTTTTAATTTATAATTAATAGAGACAATTTATAATTCATTTAAAAGCTTGACTTTTCCCCAGCGGAGTCGCCAAGCTGTCGTAACCCGTTTTTGCCCGGGCACGAATTTTTACTTGGTGGGAAAAATAATATGGATAAAAAATGATTAAAAAAATGTTTTGGGAGTCGCCATCGGCCTTTTAGGTCAGGTAGGTCGAATACCTAAAAATTACCTTTTAAAAGAGTTTTTAAGAAAACATCCGTTAAAAGATAAACTGATCTGCGTTTAACCAAAAATTCATTCTTTTTAGAAATAAAAAGGGATTCGTGGTCGGTTACGTTTAGGGAAGGATTAACACTCCTACAATGCCCAAAATTGGTACATATTAATTATAAATTGTCTCTATTATTAAAAATTTAATAGTTCAAAATTCATAATTCTGTTATTTTTATTAATATAATTTTAAGAAAATATATTAATTTATATATATATATATAAATAAGATATTTATTTATATAGAAATATCATAAAATGACTTCTAGGTGCTTTAAGACAGCTCTTTTCTTAATATTCAAAAATAAATAAATAAATATTAATAAAACATTTATTAAAAATAGATTAACATATATAATTTATAAAAAGTAAAATATTTATTTAAAAATATCAGAAAATGGACATCTAGTTATATTAAGATTGTCCTTTCTTAATATTTAAATAAATATTAAAAATAATAACTTTCCTTAAAATAAAACAATATGTGTTTTATGGTTTTTATAAGTAGGATATTTATTTATTTTTAAAATACCAGAATAGAACATCTAGTTGCTTTAAGACTGCCCTTTTATTAATATCGAAAAATAAATAAATATTAATATTTAAACAAATATATAGATCTATATTTATATGACTAATATGAAAATAAAATAATAATTAAAATAATCATTTAAACATATTGGAATTGAAATGATAATAATACAAATTAAATTGCAATTAAATAGTGACTAAAACATATAAAATTAAAATAATAGGATTAAAATATAAAATATTAAAATTTACAACCCTTATTTATAGTATTATAAAAATATAATTACTAATGATGTAATTAACCCTAATTATTAATAAGTGATTAAAATTATAATTATTAAAATTAAAGGCTCTAACTCGAATAATAAAAAGATCTAAGTGCTAATAATGTAATTTAGCATTATTTAATTAATTCGGGTTAAAATGATAATTACTAAACTATAAGGGACTAAATTAGGTATTTATCCTAAATATATATATATTATATTATGTAAAGGACTAAAATAAAATAAAATAAAATTTCTAGATCGAATTATAATATATAAAAACATGCTATAAGGATCAAATTGCAAGTTTTTAAAGTTACAGTGGCTGCGGGAATAGTTTAGCCGTGTGTGAAATTACACAAAGGACCTCCCTTAAACGACGTCGTGTAAGAGAGGGTATATATACCCTATTATGGTTGGGCCTTTCGGGCCATCCTCTCATTTCCTTCTTTTCTCCTCTCTCTTTAGAACTGAGAGAGAGATTTCTCTCTTGCCTTTCTCTAGATTCCTTCAACCGGAGGAAGGCCGGCCACCGGTCGGCAATCGTCTGCCGCCGCTAACTCTGTCGTCGGCCACCGCCTTCGGTGGCCGGAAAAAAAAAATTTACACTAAAATACAACCCTGATTTCCCCAAGGTCGAGTCCGACCTTAGTTTCCCCTAAAAGACTCCTAATCGGAGTAGATCTATGAAAATACCTTCGGTATTTTCTATTCTCCGACGATGTTTAGTGCTTTCGGCGATGGTCACGGCTCTAAGGGTAAGTTTTTTTCTTCTTTCTTTGTTTTCTGTTTTGGTTCACTGCTTGTAGTGGGTTCTCTCTCTTTGTTTGTTGCCGTCTTTTTCTTTACAGGTGGTCGATGGCTTTTATAGCCATCGACGGTGTAGCTCTCGAACCGGTCCCAAATGGTGACCCTAGGTGAGTCATCGGATTATGGTGGTAACTCACCATAGGGTTTCAACGTGGGGCAGTAACGAGGTGCTTCTGGAGGCTTCGGTTGAAGGTGGCTTCGTGGAAGCGTGGCAGCTGGCTGAGATGTCGATGTGGGGGCGGCTGGAGGCAGAGGCGGCGGCGCGTGGTCCCTAGGGTATCATAACCCTAGGGTTTTTTGTTAGAGAGCTTTGGACCGTTGGATCTTGCCAGATCCAACGGTGGAGATCGTTGGCGGCTGGCTGAGATGATGGAAACCCTAGAAGTGTTCTGCTGAGCCTGGTCGGGTTGGGCTCCGGTCTGTTTGTAAACTGAGTTGGGTTTATTTATAATTTGGCTCCGGGTTTTGGGCCTGCAATGTATTAAAATTAATTAGTTATTTAATAATAATAATATAATATAATAATAAACAAAATAATAATAATAAATAAAACAAATGGAATAAAAACTAGTGTCTTCAGTCATAATTAAGTAGTAGGCTATTATCCATCCACCAACCTGATCATCGGTGCAAAGATATTGATCGGAAACTCTGATATTCACCAGCACTCGTCTCAGACAACTTACTATTCCCCAACCATTCGCGGTTTTCCATGGCTAATTCAATAGTTCGGTACCAAATAGCTCATAAGAAACTTTCCATCTGCACCAAAATAAAAAGCAAAGCTTTGTTCAAGATGTCAATATATACCCACTTAACAAAAAACTATCACTAAAACAATATGAACAAAGCCGTTTAAAAGAAGCACTTTCAACAATCTAAACATTAAAAGAACAACTAACGTTACTTGTCTTATCATTTACTCAGATTTGCCCCAAATCCTGCCCCAATAACGACAGATAACACTTTAAAAAAGCCAAAAATGTTCTACGTTCTAGCAAATGGAAAACTGTTCTCAAAATTCTTTGCGTGAAAATGGAAGCTTTACAAAACTAGAACTACCCATCTCATTCTTCAAATAATTCAAGCAAAACCCATTACCAAGATCACAATCAATGATAAAAGTATCTGAAAAGAAATACCCAGAAAACTAAAAACCCAAACCTGAGGTAGCTGAAAGTTAAAGAGCTCCAAAGCCTCTTCTTTAAATTTCAGCACAAACTAAGTAAAACCCAGATATTAAAGCAACTTAAGATATCAAGTAAAAACAGTTTTAAATACCTTTGAAATGATATTAAAGCAAGTTGAAGGAGTCGAAGCAGCTGCACTGACCAAAATCAAATACCTTTTGAAAGAAAGAAAGAATCTTAAACTTTAAAACCACCATAACAGAAATAGAAAAGCAAAACTTGAGTTCAGATTTTAAACCTTAGTTTTAAGAGGGGGGGGGGAGATCATTAAAGCAAACGCTGCAGGAAAAGAACTGAGAATGTCGGTAACCAGTCAGCTAAAGAAAAACACTTCAAGAACAAGTTTTCAGATAATGTGGGCTTCTATTTTTTGGCTTTCTCTTTTCCTTTTTATTCGTTTTTTCCAAAAGAATTTAAAAAAAAAAACCCAGATGACAGCATGTGATTAGTAATGAGTTGAAAGTAGGTTGAGCAACGAAACCGAAAAAATTGAAAAATCGATATGAATCGAGTAAAACGGTTCGGTTCGATTTGATTTAGTTTTAAACGGTTCGGTTTTCGGTTCGATTTAAAAACTTTATTTTTTTGATTCGGTTCGGTTCGGGTTTTCCATATGAAACCCATTTGTTCCATATTGAACCGAATAGGTAATTTTTGTAAAAAAAATTATAGTTTCAAGTGATTTTTTTATTGAAAAACCGAAAAACCGAAAAATCGAACCGAACCGAACCGAAAAACTCGAACCGTTAAAAAACCCGAATCGAACCAAAAAAACTGGTTTCGGTTCGATTTTTTCAGTTTTTTAACTATTCGGTTTCGGTTTCGATTTAAATATTGAAAAACCGTTTATTTCGGTTCGGTTCAATTTTTGATAAAAAACCGAACCGAACCGAACCGAATACACCCCTAGTTGAAAGAGTTGGAAGTTTCAAATTAAAAAACCAACCTTTTTCAGCTTTTCATTGCTCTAGAAAAAGAATCTTTAATTGAATTTGTCCCTTCTTTTTTAGTATAGTTTTTGAAATGGAGCTGGCCTTATTCCACCCAGAGGGGAAATGGATACGGGGAAGTGGGAGGCTTATAATGCAAATTTTCATTGTTAATTTCTTCACAGGTGTCTTGAAAAACACAGCTGCATTTGAAGAAGAAGAATATTCAGCAAAGCTATTTTTTTTTCTATCAGTAATCTGTCTCTCAGCCTTTGCTTTTAAAACTGTTGCTTGTTCTATCAGTAGTGGAAGGAAGGAATCCAATGAGATAGCCCCTGCAAAGTTACCGATTAAATTTTCTGGTTTCTCGAGATGCGTGCAATTTCATTTTTTTTTATCCTGTGTAGTGCCGCTCAACTTTTTTCTTCTTCTTTCCAATGGTGGCGGTGCCATTGGATGTTGTTTCTCCTACCAAACATTGACACGTCACGTGGTAGAATTTTACGAATGAAATAATCTGCCGCCATAAAAAACATGTAAAGAAGGACGTGGGCACTCTCATAGCCCGTCACCAGCCGTCTCACCACATCCACATCTACATCTCCGCTCATTTACAAGCACAAATTCGAAATCTAAAAGCATCAAACCAAAAAGTAAAAGAGAACATCAAATATTTCTCTTCATCACCAAACTTATCTCTTCAGATTTACAACCAATGGCTCAAACCATGCTGGTAATGTCCAGCGTTTCAACAAGCCATGTTCTGAATTTGAAGAGAGACCACCACCCTTTCCTCCATTTCCAAGCTCAAGGCTTAATGCCTAAACCTTTCTCTCATTTCTTATTCAATCCACTCTCCAACAGTGTTGCTGCTTCATCATCATCAAGAGCTTTCACCACTTTTGCAATCTTCAAACCAAAGACCAAAGCAGCTCCCAGCAAGAAGGTAATTTCTTTTTAATTTTAATGGTGTTTAACTTGATTCTGAATTGTACCCATTTTTGTACTTGAAAAGGTTGCACCGAAGCCGAAGCCAAAGGTTGAAGATGGAATCTTTGGAACATCTGGAGGGATTGGTTTCACCAAGCAAAATGAGCTCTTTGTTGGACGTGTTGCCATGATTGGCTTTGCTGTAAGTAAATTCTGCAATAATATTTGTATCTATTTACATACAACTGTTTGACAATTTGCCTGAATGATTTCATTTTTGTGATGCTGCTTGTAGTTAGCACAATAAAAACGACTCATTCTATGATTAACTGATGACTCAAGAGGTTTTATTTGCAGCATTAATTGTTCAAATACATTGTATTTTGAGGGTTGGTGCTGTTGTTTTGTTAGAAAATAGAAATCTCAGGTTGTGTGAAATTTGAATCCTGCTCACAATTGATAATAACATGGGGGTTATGGTGCACTCATGTATGCAGGCATCCTTTGTTAGGAGAAGCAATAACAGGAAAAGGAATTCTAGCACAGTTGAACCTGGAGACAGGCATTCCAATTTATGAAGCTGAACCCCTTCTTCTCTTCTTCATCCTCTTCACCCTCCTTGGAGCGATCGGAGCTTTGGGAGACCGAGGTCGATTCGTTGACGAGCCTGCTACAGGCATTGAAGGGGCAGTCATCCCTCCTGGGAAAGGCATTAGGAGTGCCTTGGGCCTCAAGGAAGGAGGTAAACATCAACTTGTGCTACCAAATTCAACAGAGTTTATACATGCAATGATCAAAATTTTATTAAATATGGTATTTGTTTTGTGTTGATCAGGTCCATTGTTTGGGTTCACAAAGGCAAATGAGCTGTTTGTGGGGAGATTGGCTCAGCTGGGGATTGCCTTCTCATTGATAGGAGAGATTATAACAGGGAAAGGAGCACTGGCACAACTAAACATTGAGACAGGGATTCCTATCAGCGACATTGAACCCCTTGTGTTGCTCAACGTTGCCTTCTTCTTTGCTGCTGCTATAAATCCCGGGACTGGTAAATTTATAACTGATGAAGAAGAAGACTAGATTTTTCCTATGTAATTTGTAATTAACATCATCTAATTTCCTCTCCCTCTTTTTCCCCTTCCTTTGCATCAATGAATTGCATTGCTTTTAAACAAAAATGATCATACAATGTTGTGGGGGGAAATGATGAAAATGATTTTAGATTCCAATAACCTTGAAGAATACCCCAACATAGTTCCCTAAAACTGGTAAAATATAATCAATTAGGTTTTGAAATCCAAAGTAAAAAAAAAGGTGGAAATTAACAAATATTGTGTGTGATTTCATTATGATGATTATTATTATTATTATCATTTCTCAAATTATGTTACATTTACAATTATTAAAGGGCTGCCTTGACATGCATATTAAAAGAATAATCCACCTAAATCCTCTGCAGACTATAGTAATCATTAATCAAGGACAATATCAATAATGCTTGCTCCTTAAAAAAAGTCAAATGATTGGTGATCAAACCCAATCACTTCAATCATTAGCCATCGATGCTTGTAAAATCTAAGTTGATGACTTTATTATGCTTACTTATTTATTCCCTCCTTAGCCACTAAAATATTAAAAATAAATAAACTATGTCATATGCCACTAAACTTTACGTGGTATCATTTATATTACTGAACTTTCAATTCATTTAATTATATTATTAAACTTTAGTTTTAACTTAGATTATATCAATAATATGTACAGATCTTCCGTCAATATGTTGACAGCAGACAAAATAATGTTATGTCAGTGATAACTATTGATATCAAAATGACATCGTTTTAGGTACTGAACTTTAGGATGTATCAAGTTCGCCGTTAAACTTTTGAATATTTTCTTTTTTGACCTACATTTTTAAACCGTCATCGATAGTCAATAATTGCCTGGTCACTGATCATCTTTTAAGGCAAGGTCAATATTAAAATGTTCATATCCTCTTTCTTCTCCTATGATTTATTTTATATGAAACCCACTCAAAATCGACGAAAATCTATTTAAAAGTTTGACGTGCTAATACTTCAATCTCTTTTGATGACGGTTTGATGAGAATAATTTTAAGGTATGTTATTTTATTCATCTTCTTGAAATAATACTTCTCACTATTTAGATTTTTTAACAAACATCCAAGATCCCTCAAATAAAAGAAAACATGCTAAACCCCTAAAAATTATAGGTTTTTTTTGTTTATTTAATTTCATCGATATTGAATTGGTTTTGTAGAAAAACTAAGAAAAAAGAGGAGTGAAATGAAATTTTTTGGAATCGATATTGTCGCGAAAGATGGTCAATGACAGATAGTGATTAGAGGGTGACTAGAAAAGTATAATGCATAATCTATACACCCCTAAAATTCAGTGTCTAAAATAATATCATTTTAGACATTAATAGTCGCCGTCAAAACCACGTCGTTTTCTTTATCACAACATTTGAATTTTAATAGTCTAGTGGCATAATTTAAATTATAAATCAAAATTTAATATTATAATTGAAAATATTAAAAATTCAATGATATAAACGATATAATACTTAAGTGATATCTAATGTAGTTTATCCTATTAAAAAGCAAAAAAACGAAACACCCCTGGAGGAGCGGAAAAATATTCTCTTGTTTTAATAAGAGCCTTGGCCTTAAAATTGAACCGTTAATTATTAGGATAAAGTATACAAATGATCATTTAATCATAGAATATTGTTTTGTTGAGTCTCTTGCCTATTAAAAGTTACAAAATATTTATTTAACTATTCATTATATTTCAAACTCATCATTTTCCGTTAAAATATTTATGACATTTTAAGTTGAACTTTAATCTGCTAACTGTAATATGATAAATAATGATCATAAAATATTAAACAAATATTATATTTCAGTCATCATATTAACGTCTAACTCAGACAACCATCAAATTTAACGAAACATGATGAGCTTGGAACATAATAAATAGTTGGATGACTATTTTATAATTTTTAATAGTCGATATACTTAATAAAATAACGCTCTATAATTAGAAAATTATTTTAAAATTTTTAATGATCAAGGATCTTAATAAAACAATATTTTATAATCTGGTATCATTTTGTATACTTTAATTATTATTTGTATTCTCATTAAGTTTTCCTTACTAAGCCCTGAAAATTTAGCCTTTAACACCACCCCGATTGAGGCTAGAGCGGACAAATCTTCCCTCGTCATCAACTCAGCGGTTATTACTAAAAGGTCGGTATTTTTTAGCACCGTCATCCGAGTCAGAGCTGTTGATTTTTTTAGAAGAAGGAATAATGGAGAGATCGGTTTTTGTGAACGATGTTCAACAGGTCAATGGAAATCTCCGTCACTCTGTTTCCTCCGCTTCTCTAAGACATGTAGCTTACAGGTTGGTTGATTTTTCTTTTTTCGGGATTCCAGTTGGTTCTTTTCTTTTCTTTAATTGGATGCTTAATATTTTGAATTTTGATTTCTTGGTTTTGTTTCATATGAGATTATTGATTCTGGGTTTGTTGTTTTTTTCTTATTTGTTATGGTAATTGATTGCGTTGTTGACTATGCCTAATTGTCTTAAATAAAGTTTCTGTTTTTTTAACTTTTTTGTCTTCATTGATTGTAACCAGGGGACTGGTTTAGGTTCATAAAGAGTTCATTATTAACTGTTAATTGGAGTACAAGGCTGAATCTTGAATGAGCTTTTGATCAGAAGAGAATCGTTGTTGAGAATTAACTTGATTGTAGAAGGGACCGTTTGGGGGTGACAACGAAAAATAGGAAATAATTTTTTGGGTATACCAAAAGAATATGCTTATTTGTCTTGGTTAAATTGGCTTACGGCGATTTCTGTGCAAAATATGATGCTGAACTACTACCATGGTGAAGCTATTGCTACAGTAATTGCTTTGATCAATATTAAGAGTTATGGGTTGGGGGAAATGGGGTTGGGAATGAGCTTCTCTGTTTTTGCTTTTCTTCCGATAGTATTCTGGCTGTTAATAGGTATTGCTTTTCTACATCTGATTTACTCCCTTTTTTTTTTTTTGGAAATATCTGCTGTTGACACTCATATCCAACACCGTAGTATAATCTTCCAAAGATTTTGTTGAAAAGCTTTGTAAAATTTAAACATACATGTGTCGGACATATACCTCACATCTGAATTCAAATAACTCAGTTTTTATTTATGTTAGGGGTTTATTAGGATGCTAATGGACTGGTTTGGTTTTTGAATTTGCTGTTGGTTTATTTCTTTATTTGCTGTAGTGTGGTGGTCGTAAAATTTATTTGAACTGGACGTTCTTTTGGATGAATAAAACAAAATTTATCCAAGAAAAATAGGATGTTGAATTGCTAATGGACTGAAATGATTATTTATGTTATTTTGCATTTATGTTAACCTTGCCTCCTTAAATTCTCTGCCTTGCTTGATGGTTGGTACTTGGTGGACGTAGTAATAAAACACCTGAAGATTCAATTTTTATGGTTTGTTGAGTTGTAATTTGATTTACTCGGCTTTCATAGTCACGGCAAGTTCTTAAATTGATATGGTCTGTTTGACCTAGATTATTAAATCCAGATTATGAACTCATGTAGACATGTTGGTTTTCATTTACTTTTAGTTGACTAACAGATCAAGAGCCTTTTAGGACTGAAAGAGTTTTTTTTTTTTTTTTGGCTAAATAGGAATGAAAGAGTTTCCTATTACTTTGGCATATGAAATTGTAAGCTAAGCACACTTACATTTGAGTAGTTGACATTGAGGATTCTTTTTGGTATGTTTTAAGATATGGCAAAGGGATGATGATTCTAGAGTTTGAATCCTAATCCTTGGGTACTAACAGAGAGCCTCAGTCACTGCTTCAAGGTGTTGGTGACATTGAGAAGTATAGTCGTAGTAATTCTTAATTCTAAATTTCTTTACGAAATTGCGATGAGTTCTCAGAAAGAGTCGATTAGCGGAAAATTCCCTTTGATCCTTCAAATATTGCACATTACCATGTCATCTTCAAACACTTGTTGAAACTCTAGTCTCCTTGTTTCCAGTGATAGATAGTGAATGACCCTCTGTAAAGCAACGTAAGCAAATATATACTTTATATATAAAGAAACTGCAAAGCCTTTTGAGTTTCTAACACTCTGCATAGTAGTTTAGTTGGAAGTTTTTATAATCATTACAATTTATGAAGGTATAAAATGGTGGAAACAATTCTTTCATGCAGTTGTGGTTCTTGTGGGTATGAACTAAACCTGAGTTCTTCTAGGCGAATCACCGCAACAATTGGCTCCAAATATAGGAAATCTATAAAACGAGGGATTATATCATTCTTCAGTATAGATGAGAGCAGGTTTACACAAGTCGACGAGTTCCAATGCATTCCCTACTTTTCAAGGCACTCTTGGAGCTTGTTTTGCCATAGAACCAAACTCCTTTGCCGCAAGTGTGGCAACCACATTGGAAATGCTCATGATGACAAAACTTCAGGCTACGCCCTTGTATTAGACAAATCCGATACAGCCTCTGGTAGTGAAGCTTCTAGCCATAGAAGATATGATGTCAGAATCCGTGCCCTACAGCCCTCATCGGCTCAAGAACTTGGCACTCCACCATTTATGTGATTTAGTCGAGTGTTGTATCTCAATCACATCGTTTATGGTCTTCCACTTTCATTATACTGAGTTTTCTTGTGGGTTGCTTCAAGTCATCGTCTTCTCTTATTTATTTTTCTTGAACATGGTCTTAATATGGCAAGTAATGTACATAAAAGGAACTGAATTCTGCATGGCAGGTGATTGGGAGTGTTTGAAAGGAGTTGAGCCAAGGTTTAAATGTATCATATTCATGTAATCTCTTTTTGAATTGAATCAAATCCAAGGCATACGAAACAAAATGTCCCAGACCGTACTCACATAACAACCAGATTCTGAAGATGTTGGGTGCTTTAATTTCTAACCAAAATTTTGGTGAAGTTAATTTGTTTTATAATACTTAAGTAAAAAATCGTAAATCTGAATTAATCTAATAAAAATGTTTTAGATAAGAATTGATGACATAACCGAATGATAATGAAATCGTATTTAATATACATAAATATATGATATAAAAGTGAATAACATATGTATTGATGATCGATATGTATAGGAAATAAAAAGATATACTGGTTTCGGTAGTTCAACTATATAAATATGATTAAATTATTTTTATGTATATATGTTACATGTATATATTATATATAATATATATTCGTTAATATTTATAATATTTTTATTTTTTAATAATTTATTATTTTATAGCTTATGATATATATTTTTTTTAAAAAATTAATAGAGTTTTAGTATTTTTAAATTCTTTTAATAATTTAATTTTTAATTTTAGTATTTGCATATTTTAATATTTTAATATTTAAATAATTTATACTTAAAATTTAAAATAATTTTTTATTTTAAAAAAACAATCAAACTTTCTAAAAAATCAATTTGGTCCTCAAATTCGATAAAATAAACAAATTTAGCCACTATCTCATTATTATCTATCATGGAATGCCACATCAACACTATGGACTATCACATTAATACTGTAAATTATCATGTCAACATCGTAACAGTCATATGCGATTATGTTGGTTAAAGAATCGATTTTTTTCCTTTTCAGTTTAAAGGTGACATTAAAAAACTAAGGGCCTCATATACTATCAAACCTTTATTTTTATATATTTAAAAGATTATACTTTAAGTTCATTAAATATGTATAATAAAGAATTTAGAGGGAAACTTTTGTTTTGTTCCTTGAAATACAAGAGGAGAGTTAAAAGAAAAAGAAAGGTTAAGGTCATATATTGATTTAAATGATAAAGAGATTGAGATCTTTTAAGTAATATTTTAAGTTTAAGCCTTACAAATAAGAAAGATAATATTTGGAGAATTTTATCTCACTTGTAGGCTTTAATTTAATTTAGCTTTAAATATAATTGACTATAAAATATAAAAGTCTACATAAAAAGAGAGAGAGAAAAGTATAGGAAGATGCCCTGCCTAGCGAGTTGTTACATTGTTCTATGTAATTTATGAATATTTTGTTTAGAAGTTTCAGATCTCTATGTGAGGTGTGTCAACAGAATGTGCCTCTTTAAAGTATGTTTGACTTGAGAGCTTCGCAAAAGAAAAAGCCAACCCACACCGATCCTAGGCCTAGCCGGCTAGCCCCACTTTAAATGTTGAAAAACCAAGCCGAGTCTAGCTTAGCCCTCCCTTCTTATGAAGCCAATGAAATTAAAGCTGCTGCTCTTTTATTGGTCACGCCATCTGGCCATGTTCTATGTTTTGGGTTAGGTGGATGAAAGATTTTAAAGGGTCCTCTTCCTCAACAACACTCAACCTCCCCTCCCCCTCTTCCCGTAATGATTTAAATTCCTTAGCCACTTCACCCCTCGGCCGGATATACGATTATAAGTTAGAAGAATAAATTTATAAAATTTTAAAAGAGAGTGAAAACAAATTATCAATGACTTGTTTGACGGAAGTTGAAACTGACCGAAGAGTTGACCTTAATGTATGGCTACTATGGTTTCCAATTCAACATTGATTGAAAAAGAAAATCTAGAGACGCTTTTCTTTGAGACAAAATGCAGCCATGATTCTTTCACCATCTTCATCATTACCATCTTTTGATAATGGTGGAGATGAAGGAGGGCTGGTGGGGGTTAAGATTTATGTCTTGTCATTTTCGACCACTCCATTTTAGCCTTTTTCTCAACACCCATTGTGGTCCTAATTGCACTGGTCCTTTTGCTGGAGATTTAGAATTTGGGACAAATTCCCTTACACTGAAGGGTCTTTCTGAACAATCAAAGGGCCCTGCTGGCAACTTTGCAGCAGCTCAATGACTGACATGTTGGCCTTGTGAAATTATGCTCCAATGCTCCTCACTTTGTGCATAAGAAAGATATGGGGACTCCAAGTATGGTATGGAGAGAAAAATATACAAATATTTCTTTTTGTATAAAGAATGTCCTAAACCAATCTGAAATGAGTGGCACATTGTAAAACAATCCTTTTACAGCTGGTTTTGTTGATCAGAAAATCAGAATAGAATAGAAGCAGCCAATGAACTTTAAGCCAAGGATAGCATAAAGTATATTTTGACTCTTACCCATAGCTCAATTATATGAGAGAGCCCCAACACACAAATTGGTATGGAGGAGAGAAAAAGCAAAGCTTTAGTGTCCCTTTCTATACAAAAGCATGTCTTTATTCTTTGGTCCACTTTGTCAGAGTCCTCATCCATCCCTTCCTTCTCATCACTTTCACACCATCTACCTTGCTGCTGCCCATTTGGCATCCGTTGGCCTTGCTGGACCTCTTCCACCTTATGAGCTGGAACAAGTGGCCAATCCGCTTCCGCCACCTAAGCGAGGCTCGTGGTTTCGCATGCTCGATCACGCTCTTATTGGTCTCCTTGGTGACCTCCATGCCCTTGGTCAAGGTTGGGTTACACGACATGTTGCATTGCTCAAAAGAGACCTTAGAAACCGTATCCTTTTCCCATGAACCAACACCATTCTCTTCAAACTTGATTGAGATAAAGGAATCTGCAAAAGTAAAACTTGGACACTGAACAAAGGGTTTCAAAAGAAGATTACTACAACTAAAAAGTACTAAAAGAAAAATAAAAAGCAAAGGAAAAAGTAACAGCTTTTATTATTTTTTAATGGTAAAGTGTATGTATTTTAGTACATCAACCATATTTGTAGCTTGTCAGCTATATACTAACAGTGAGTGCAAAACTAAAGCAATGTCCCAGAAAAAAAAGAGGAAAAAATGTGAAAGGAAAGCCATCTTTACCAAAATTTTCTATGCATATATACATAATTATCTGCAGATTTGGATGCATTTTAAATTGCCTTTGAAAAAATCATAGGATTTCCTAGGAATTATTAATGGCATTCATTGTTCCCAATCAAACATATCTTCCAATTAGCATCAAATGATATTCCCAAGCAAAACATACAGAGTCATGCATACCCAGAGAAGATAACAGGAAAAAGATTCTTCATTTCCAGTTTTACCAGATTTTGACCACTTTTGTCACTACACACAATAAGTTTAAGATACGCATGCATGCATGTGATTCATATCTTCTTTTTTTTTCCTTTTGGCTGATGCAAATTCAAGAACACATAAAAGAAAATAATGGGGAATCACCTTCTTGACTGGTTGAAGCATCAGAATGTTCAGATTTGCAATGCTTGAGCTCTAGACGATTGAGCACTGAACCTAAAGCAAAGATCTTGAGGAGGTTAATGGGAGGTTTCTTCAATGAAACACCTTGAATAAATCTATGGCTGCCTCTGGTGGATGATGATGAAGAGCGTTGGGCTTGCTTTGAAGCTAAGATAAGAAGCCTCTCGTTCAAGCACAAAGCACAAACCCCCATAACAACTACTTGAGGATGGAAATAACACCTTGAATTGTCTTCTCTGAACCCATTCATCATAGTATGGGGTTTCCTACTGGTAAAAGATGAAGAGAGGAAATATGAACACTCTTTGAAGAGGAACAAAAATGGAAACAGTTTGAGTTGGTGTCGGATAGCTTATATTGCGGAGAAAGTTGAAGTTAAGAGCATCGTCAGATTGGTCCCCAGTAACCCATCAGTTAGGACAGTATAGTATTAATAGGTGGGGAGTGGTATGCTGTGGGTTTTTCGATAGCCATCCATTTAGCTAGATATGGACATTGATATACTTTGAAGCCAATTCTTTTGATTTTGAACACCTAATTTGTTTTTGACAAATAAAATATATATTTTCTTTTAACATTATTTTTAATCTAAATTTGATGCTGTAGAGGTTCATTATAAAATGACATTTTTAATCTTATTTTTGTATTCACATTATAAGAATTTAAATCTTTAATCTTATTTAGGGATTTAATATCTTATCTTGTAAACCAACTAATTTTTTAATTAAATGTATCTATAGTTATAAATAGTTAGTTAATTCACCCATATTGTCAACTATAATATATGTATCCCCCCCCCCCATTTGTTGGTGAGAATGTAGTAGATGAACTTGGGAAGGTAAATGCAAAACCCAAGTGTCTTGAAAAGGAGGTTGGTGATTGGAATGGATAAAATATTGAGACTCCCTATTGATTTGAGTCCATTTAAAGGCACAAAATGTAGGGAATTGATGTAAAAGGCATGAGAATGGGGAAAGCAATTTGGCTTGAATCTTATCATTTATTGGGTTTTCTTTTTTATATTTGACAAAATCACATACTTTAATTTGATTATTAATTTTTTAATTGGAGAAGATATTCAAACCTTTTAGTTTTGATGGAAATTTCATTTACTCGTATGGTTTGAATATGATCAATTACTCTTCTAATATTTTAAATTAAAAAAGATAAAATTTAACTTTTATGAATTACTTTATTTGTCTTAATAAAAATGTCACAATTAGTATTTATTTTTTAAAAAATTTTGAACTTTAATATTAAATATTTTAATTATTCAAATTTTACAACTAATGTATTTAAAGTAATTAATATAAAAATAAGTGCACAAACTATACCACTTTTTTCAAATAGGTGCCAAAACTTTTTTCGATTCATCTAGATGACTAACATTACAAACGTTACTACTTTAGGTGTCCTGATCGTAATGGCCATTAAAAAACTCCATTAAATGACACTATCACGTTATGGTAATTTTAAATTTTTTAAAAAAATGAAAAATATAATTATACTAAAAAAACCCCTAATTTCTCTTAAATTACAAAAAAAACCAAACCCTAAAAATCACAAATATCTAAACCTAACCATAACCTTACCTTCCTTATTGACCACTGCTATCAACGTCTTCCTTGCCATCACCCTAGTTATACGCCGTCATCCTTGTTGTCGATTGATCGTCGGGATCACGTGGTGTCGCCATTTACAACATCATTCTTCGTCGAATTCACATCGATTAGCTCCTGTTATGGCGGCTTTTCATTGGCTAATTGGTCTTTCAGGTGGAGTTGCGGTCAGGTGAAGGCTCGGCGACAACAAAGGGTGGCGATTGATATGGGTTTAGGGATTGAAATTAAGGTTTTAAAGTTTTAGGGTTTTTTTAAATTTTTTGAAATTTTTGAGGGGTTTTTAAAATAAAATTTTAATTTTTTATTTTAACATGTGTCACTTAACGTAATATTTTAACGATCGTTATAGTCAAGACACCTAAAATAATAACTTTTGTAACGTTCAACACCTAAATGGATCAAAAAAAAGTTTAGACACCTATTTTAAAAAATAAATATAGCTTGGGAACTTTTTTTTATTAAACCTATATAAAAACTACTTCCTTCACAATGATATTAGTGATAAAAATATTATTGATAAAAAGAAATGTTCAACTCATCAATTTGAGTGATTGTTTCATGTGGATGATGGAGTGACTTTATCGGGAGTAATGACAAATGCAAATAAGAGTTACGATGGACAAGTGGTTGTCCTAAAAAATCTGAATTTATTTTGATTAATTATTGATTTAATTGAATGTGCCCATATGAAGTTTTATTTGTGCCTAAAGAAAACTACAAAGAAACACTAACAGAGAATGGAAGAGGTGAACAGAAATTGCTTCTTTTTTATTCAAGAATTCCTTCGTCCGAGGGAACAAACATTGTTTATATAATAGCTATATCCCATGCAGCTGACAACTACTTCTAGGTAACAGTCTAACTACATATCTATACAACCTAACCTCCTCGCTAAGACTCCAATCAGTTCAACCCATGTGTAGTCTAACTGACCTAGCTAATAACAACAACTAGCTATTCTCAACTTTCCTCCCACTTTTTCCTAGCTAATAATCCTTATTGTTTCACTCTTCCTCTAAAAACTTCGAAACTCGACTTGGACAATGGCTTGGTGACTGGTGGGTCCATCTGCAACTTGATGGAGAGAGCTGGAACATAACTCACACAAAATTGACTTGCAATTACCTTTTCACGGATAAAATGAATGTTAAGATCCACGTGCTTCGATTGTGCATGGTAAACCGGATTTGCGCTTAAAGCTATAGCTCCGGTGTTATCACACCAAATAACCGGTTGCTCGTGCTGTATTACTCCAAAATCAATTAATAACGCACTGACCCAAGTCACTTCGGCTACTGCATCTGCTGAACTTCTGTACTCCGCTTCCATAGCCGATCAAGACACTGCTTTTTGTTTATTTGAACTCCAATGACACCACGTTATTACCTATACGCACATAGTTCCCTGATATGGATCTTCGGTCATCCACACTTCCTCCCCAATCAGCATCTGCAAAGGTTGATATAGACTTTGGTCCAGACGCTGCTGGTGAAAACTCTAGACCGTAATAGAGTGTACCTCCTAAATAGTGAAGGATTCGTTTTACAGCGAGAATATGCAACTCACGTAGCGCATGCATGAATTGTGCCACCTTATCCACACTAAAAACAATATCTGACCTCGTATGACAGATATACAACAACGCACCTACATGCTCAGAAACTTGTCTTCTAGAAGTTCTCTTGCATCTTGTGACAGCTTGGTGGACACGATCATAGGAGTGGTCGTCGGGTTTTTTTATCTTTGTATTGCTCAAAAGTTCTAGAATAAACTTTTGTTGAATGAGAATAAGCTTTGTTGAATGAGAATAAGCGACCTATGGCACCGTTTTACTTCTATTCCTAAGAAGTAATGAAGCTCTCCGAGATCTTTTAGCAAAAATTTGTCACTCAGCTGCTGCACGACTTTCTCAACTTCTTCAGTTGACTCTCCCGTAATGATGATGCCATCCACGTATACAAGCATGTACGTACTCATGCCCCCTAGTTCATAACAAAGAGCGATGCATCAGCTCTTGATTCATGAAAACCCATCTGATTCAAGTTGTCCTTAAACCTAGTGTGCCAATTACTTGGTGCCTGACACAAGCCAAAAATAGCCTTTTGAAGCTTGCAAACTAATCTGGTGCCATTGGGAGCATGTTGTTCGAAGCCTGGAGGCTGCACTATGTAAACATCCTCGCTAAGACCCCCGTTGAGGAACACATTATTTACATCAACTTGTCTCAATGGCCACTTCCTCGTGACAGCAAGAGACAAGACAACATTCAACGTAGTAAACTTGACTACTGGACTGAACGTGTCCCAAAATTCCTACTTCTATAATTTATTATTAATATATATATATATATATATATCTTTAAAAATATTTTTGAATCTATTACTAATTTAAAAAATCATGATTGTCCCCAATTAATTATTATGGTGCCTACTCTCTTTGAGCGATTGCTGTATTAACCGTTGATTTAGATTTTTATTTCTTTGGTCTTGAGGTTTAGGGTTGTTATTAATGGTCTGGACGTACTTTTGGAATCAATCGAATGTGTGCCTTTAGTATGTGCCTCATATTCTTAGGTTTTCCATCCTTGTGTTTATAATGTTCGTGTTATTACTTTAGAATACTTTGAACTCTTCAACCCAAATCCACTTGCTCGTATATATTCGTACATCGGTATACAAATTCATCCTTGAAGTCGAATAATATAACACCATTTAAAAAAATGAAATGGAATAATAACGTGCAGCGCATTTTTTGTTGCTCTTTCTTCCTCAAGTGAAGCAAAATCTATGCTTCATCATTGCATGAGAATGATTACAATTGCAGTTAAGATGGAGTAGAAACCCCATCACCCAAATACTAGAAACCTTTTCACGTTATCATCATTAATTTATCATCACGACTCTTTAATCTCTGAAAAATACATTTCTAAAATGTTTTCTATTTTTATTTTATTCTTTGGGTTCAAATCTAACTTGCAAACCTTTCTTATTAAATATCAAATCACTCGATTTGACTCGTTAAATATCCGAGTTTAATCCATTCAAATATAGAGTTGATCAAACTAAATTGAATTCAAGTATCTTACGATCCATCTAGTCTCATTTATCCTTCTAATTACACTTGTGAATATTATATGTTAAGATATAGCAAATAGGGAATAATAAAAAAGGAGTAGGATTAAATGAACAAGATCTAAGGCACATGGCAATGGCATCTCTCACACAAACTAATGTAAAAGGTTTGAAGAATAAAGCATCTGAAAACTCATCCAACCTCATGTATACTACCAAAGAATTACTTGAAATTTGTCTTTCACGATAAAGCTACCGCAAGGTGTAAAAAGAAGATCAAATCAAGTTGGGTTTCTCAAACACAAAGACAATATTCCACACTTAAGTAATTATATTAACCTTAATGTTTTTTAGCATGGTTTGCTTTCCAAAGAGAGAGAGACTGGACAAATATAAACATAATCAAACTTCATCACCTGGGGATTATAAGCCTTGCAAAATGCAAAGTGAGGCGAGGGAGTTAGCAAGGTGAGAAGAACATGAAGAAGATTTAAAACTCTTTTGAGTCGGAGGAAGGGCATGAAACAAAGTGAGCAAATCACCCTTGTTAGCTACATGAGTAAGTGCCCACATAATGACATGCTTAAAATGCGAGCTATGGTCCACCACAACCATCACTCCCTCAACACCTGCAGACCATTCATGTAACACCCTCAACCCGTATCCGACTCGGATTTAAGTCCTAGGTGTCACATTGACTTTTCAAAACATTTTCCTTTACAGGTGGATAAAAATTCAACTCACTATTCGATAAAATTAATATTTTCATTAATTGACATAACTGAGTTTTACAAAACATATCAGAGCTTATACTATTCAAATCTTTATACTACATGCCAACTACATTCTAATAAACAGAATACATATATTCAATATGTTTCTGATATGATATTCGTAAGGAAGATGCTGACCTGTCTTGCTCCTCTTAGCTTCTCTTCTCGCTTCTATAATATAAACTACATATGAGTTTATAATATCACATGAATAATTAATGCTATTATAACATACATCTTCATGTACACTTCATAAAATGAATACATACATACACAAACCTTATAATATCACATATGAGTTTTACTATTTCATATTCTTATAATCATTTACTTTGCACTACTTAGCTTATATCACATTCTACTATATTCATTTAAATCAGTTACTTACCTTATTCTTAATCCTGTAATTTTGATCGCAATCCTACATATCTTATCTCTCCTTTTTATATGTTTCTATTTAACATTTCACCCATAAATTCTCGTTACATATTCTAATATCCTAATTTCGTATATTCTCTTAATTCATTCCTCACCAAATCTTCATTTAATAAACATACATTTGCATAACTTATTGTCATTTGATTCCTCTGATATTCTCATATGATTTCTTAGATTCTTATACTAAATTTCATATCCCTTACTAATTTAGCAAGGTTAGTTCACAGTTCTATTTTAAACGTATATACCTTCTTACACAACTTATCTAATATCCTTTTATACTTATTTATATACCTTTTTCCTCAATTAATATACTATATGATTTGTCTCAATTCTCATTAATCATATAGTTCACCACTTCATTATCTATTTATATATATATATGTATATAGCGTTCACTATATTTCTCATAAAATTACTTCTAACATATCATATAATTATATTATATATTATATTCACTTACATTCCCATATATCATATCAACATATTTCACATAGAACGTATCATATATGCAATAAATGAAACTCATGCATTCACATCCAAATGTCTAATCACATATGACAATCATGTTAAGCTTATATATATTATTTCTTTATTGGCCCATGTACATCTTGGAGAACTAAAGATATGTGAGTTCATTGAGGTTGTGCATTGATGCTGTCACCACAGCTCGAATAAATTCCCACTAGGGGCACTGTATATTTGTCCCGAAAGACCACTATGTCCCGAAGGACCACTATGTCCCGAAGGACCACTCCTTAAGAGCCATACACATAATACAATGGACCAGATAAGTGTACCGAAGTACCACATATATGTTCCACATAATTACATATATGTCCCGAAGGACCACGTAGAACCCTCGACTCTTGGCATGCCAACTTTATCTCTAGCTCTCATGTCACTTAACATGGGCATCATTATTATGTTTACCCTATATTCACATAGCCATATCACATAAACATAGGTTCTTATCATATCACTCATATCATATGGCTTATCCCTTGAAATCTTGCAATCATATCACTTATACTCTCATAAATCATATCTACATGGCTTATCTTATATACATATGTTCATATACTTTAGCTTTCTTCACCTTCCATAAATCCATACAATTCATTATCACATGATTGATATCTTAATCACATAACAATAACATACATTCACACAGATCATACCACATATACAATAATATATCACAATTATGCCCATATCAATAACATGCTTATATGTATGCTATTATAGGAAATAGACTTGTCGCAAGTCTTATTTCCATTCATCATAATATACCAACTAATACGCACTCACCTTAGCCTTGCTTACTTTGACTCGATCCTAATCTTTCGATTGTTCCGGAATAAGATTACGTTCTAAATCTACATAGTAATACATTGATACATATCAGCATACGAATTGATATATTCTAAACTATTACTCCTTAGGCTAAAAAGAAAACTATTTTCATCTTTTAATGAAGGTATGCATCGATGCACTATCTATGCATCAGTGTATAAATCCCATTCGATATTTGTATTTTAAGCAGGTGCATCGATGCACTCCTTATGCATCGATACACTAATTGCATTCGATGTTCATTTATTTGAGAGTGCAGCGATACACATTGAATGTGCATCGATGCACACAACCCATAAATGATACTTTGAGCACGAAAATCCCTTCCTGATCCTTTCAACTCTTTTATTTTTTTCACCACTTTTTATATTCCCAACTTTCATACACATATTTACACTCATTCTTACTCAATAATCACTTCTTTAACCTCCAAATCATATCCTTTATATGGCATTCAAGAATCATACGCAAATATCAACATGTTCTAAATCTCATCCTAACACTTCCTATTCCTTATTTAGATTGATGACAAGTCAAATCAACTTCCAATTCTAATTTTTAACTCTATAACAAAATTTCATTCAAAAACTCACAATCTTTAATCTCTTCTAATTCCATCATCTTTTGATTTTAAGATAACTTAAGTTTTCCTTAAGCTTAGTTATCATCTAATAATCATAAACCAATCTTAAATTTAACAAGAAACTAACTAACTAGAAACTCACCTTTGTTTTGGGTTCCCACGCATGAAGGAAGAAGAAGAGAAAGAGAACTCTGGAAGCTTGTAGATTTCTCTTCCCTTCCACGTGGTTAATATATAAACCTTTCTTTAATTTAATTATTTCACTTACAAAAGACCCTTTTGCCCTTCACTTCATCTAATAATTACTTACCTTTTCAGGTAATATTTCCAAATGAATAATTGAACTATTCCATTCTTCTACTTTAGTCACCAAGTTCTGAAATTTTACAATTTAGTTACTAACCCATAGATTGGAGGTTACAATTCATATTGAGCTCTTCTTCTATTTGAGTTACATGATCGGTTTTTGCCCCCGCACCTGCACCCCAGTAGGATGGTACCACTAAAGCCGTGCCCAAAACTTCCACAGTGCCATCTATTGGTCACTTCCTGGACTTGCACCAGCAGGTGCCCCATTTGGAAGTATGTCTGATGCCTCCACATTGGTGAATTCAGTAGCTACTCTCCCTGCTGCATTTGTGCTATACTTGCTTATCAAATTAATCTCATCCTTCTAATTGTAATTTTGGTCATCTTTGTTTTGAACTTTTTGATCTGTTGTATGCAACTTTCAAATGGCACTAT